TGCCCCACATCCTTGATCTCACATGTCCTCTGTCTCTCTAGGAAAGTTTATGCCCCACAGAGAGACAGAGGACAAGTTGGAGCAAGGGAGAAAGAAAGATGGAGGGGGGGAAGGGAAGGGCGGTTGGGTATGGATAGAGTGGGGGGGAAAGTGGTGGAAAAGAGACCCACCTGAGTGTTTCTATGAGCTGTCTCGCACACGCTGCCATAAGCGGCTGCATGCACAAACACGGAGAGAGAGAGAGAGAGAGAGAGAGAGAGAGAGAGAGGAGAGAGAGAGAGAGAGAGAGAGAGAGAGAGAGAGAGAGAGAGAGAGAGAGAGAGAGAGAGAGAGAGAGAGAGGAGAAACACATGTTGATTGAAAACACCACCTTCACATTCCCTTGTGCACCCTCCACCTGAGTCCTGACCCCACCGTGTATCCCTGTATGTTAACCCCCCCTCACCCCATGCCACCCCATGCCACCCCATGCCACCCCATGCCACCCCATGCCACCCCATGCCACCCCATGCCACCCCATGCCACCCCATGCAACCCCATGCCACCCCATGTCACCCCACCTGACCCATCTCACCTCATCTTGCGTTCTCTCATCTCACCGCATCTCACCGCATCTCACCTCATCTCACCGCATCTCACCTATCTTACCTCGTCCCTCCTCTCGCCAGCAGCAGCACCGCCACATCAACACCTAAGCTCCTTTCCATCGCAAACACCCAGCTGAACCGCCGCACTTCATTGCACCTACTCGCACCCCATTGGATGTCACCCTATCTCACCTCGTCTCTCCTCCCCAGTAGCACCAACATATTGAAAACCCGACTCTCATCCGTCCCTCCCATATTCCCCCTCCCTTCTGTCCCTCCCACCTGCTCCTGCCTGGCGTGGGAACCGCTAGGTCGGACTCAGTACTCACCTCATCCCTCCTCCCCAGCAGCACCAACACACAGAACACTGAGCTTCCTTAAATCCGCTGCCATCTGACCCCTGCACGCCATGCACATCATTGCACCCATGTTACCTCGTCGCTCCTCTCGCCAGCAGCACCAACACAGCTGCGCTCCCATCTGCGACCTGCCTCCTGCACACGTTGCACATCACCGCATCCCACCCATCCCACCCATGGCACCCATGCCACCCATGCCACCCATGGCACCCATCTCACCTCGTCTCTCTTCCCCAGCAGCACCGACACATTGAACACTGAGCTCCCTTCCATCCCTCCCATCTGCCCCCTCCCTTCCGCCCCCCCCACTTGCTCCCGCCTGGAAAAAGCGAATGGTGGAAGGGGGAAAGGGGGATGTTTTTTGAGTCGACTCAAAAATCAAAGCGAATGGTGGAAGGGGGAAAGGGGGATGTTTTTTGAGTCGACTCAAAAATCAAAGCGAATGGTGGAAGGGGGAAAGGGGGGATGCAGCCGAGAAGCGTGTTTACCCTGCCCCTCCCTTACTCCTTCCCACTTTCCTTAGGGCCTAGAACTTTACGAGGAGGGAGTGAGGTGAAAGGGGTGGGAGGGGAGGGGAAGGAAGCGGGGGAAATTTTTGTTTTTGTTGCAAGAACCACCGGTCTACAGTCACACTGGAAAGTGGTTCCTGTTGTTCGGAAGCCTGAAGTTTCATACTGCGTGATGGTAATCTCGTAATAGTCACAGGGCATGTAGCATGATGCTGCTCTCGTTTTAGTCACCTTGCATACAGCATGGTGCCGAGTGTGCCTATTTGTGTCACAACCACCTGAAAATCGGGGGGGAGGGGAGAGATGGCAGAGGGGGAAGAGGGGAGGAGAGGGAAGGGAAGGGAGGGGACTACTATCAAGGAAGTCAAACGTCAGAGCAGGAGGAAAGGGAAGGAAGTTTGGAAAGAAACGACACGAAAGTGGTGGAAGCGATGCAATCATATCTGGGGGTCGGGAAAAGGGAGGGGAAGGGAAGGAAAGGGAAGGAAAGGGGGATGGAGGGGAAGGAGAGAGGGGGAATCAGGAATAGACAGAGAAGAGAGGGAATCAGGAATAGACAGAGAAGAGAGGGAATCAGGAATAGACAGAGAAGAGAGGGAATCAGGAATAGACAGAGAAGAGAGGGAATCAGGAATAGACAGAGAAGAGAGGGAATCAGGAATAGACAGAGAAGAGAGGGAATCAGGAATAGACAGAGAAGAGAGGGAATCAGGAATAGACAGAGAAGAGAGGGAATCAGGAATAGACAGAGAAGAGAGGGAATCAGGAATAGACAGAGAAGAGAGGGAATCAGGAATAGACAGAGAAGAGAGGGAATCAGGAATAGACAGAGAAGAGAGGGAATCAGGAATAGACAGAGAAGAGAGGGAATCAGGAATAGACAGAGAAGAGAGGGAATCAGGAATAGACAGAGAAGAGAGGGAATCAGGAATAGACAGAGAAGAGAGGGAATCAGGAATAGACAGAGAAGAGAGGGAATCAGGAATAGACAGAGAAGAGAGGGAATCAGGAATAGACAGAGAAGAGAGGGGATAGAGTTGTATGTGGTAAACGATGCAGTAATAGATGGCAAGCGAGACTAGGGAGAGAATGATGAGGCAAGGAGGAAGTCATAGAATGCAAGCTCAGCTTGCCGCGCCAACTGGCAAACGAGCTTCTCTACTCTACAAGCCAATGATGGTGCAGGCAGCAGACAAGCAGCAGGCAGGTGGCAGGCAGGCGGCATGCGGACGGCAGGTGGGCGGCATGCGGACGGCAGGCGGGCGGCAGCCTGGTGTGCGTCTATTGTCAGGTGAAGCAGGGTGGTGAGGTGACGTCACCATGAGCCTGTCGTCGTATGAGAGGCAGAGGAAGGTGGTGGGCACGCCCTGAAGGGAGGGGTTGGGAGGATTTCGGGGGGGTTGGGAGGTGGACAGAACTCTTGAGGGGGCGATACTTATTCCTTGGGGCGTCTCAGAGCAAGCCTGTTGTCGTGTGAGAGGCAGAGGACGGTGGTGGGCACGCCCTGAAGGGAGAGGAGTGGGGGGAGGGGGAGACGGGGGGAAGGGAAGAGGGGGAAAGCAGAGGATATGAGACAAGCAGAGGGCATGAGACAAGCAGAGGGCATGAGAGGCAGACGGGGGGTTGGAAAGGGGTGGAATGTACAAGAGTGCCGGCATATGAGAGGCAGAGGACGGTGGTGGGCACGCCAGGACGAGGAGCGAGGGACGGAGGAAAGTCGTGGTGGAGGGGGGGAGGGGGAGGTGGGTCTGTCTGAGAGAGGTTTGGAGGGTTTTGGGGAATTGGGTCTGAAGGGGCTTACGGCGCTGATGGGGGGAGTGCGCTGATGGTGGGAGTGCGCTCATGGTGGGAGTGCGCTCATGGTGGGAGTGCGCTCATGGTGGGAGTGCGCTCATGGTGGGAGTGCGCTGATGGTGGGAGTGCGCTCATGGTGGGAGTGCGCTCATGGTGGGAGTGCGCTCATGGTGGGAGTGCGCTCATGGTGGGAGTGCGCTGATGGGGGGAGTGCGCTGATGGTGGGAGTGCGCTCATGGTGAGAGTGCGCTGATGGTGGGAGTGCGCTCATGGTGAGAGTGCGCTAATGGTGGGAGTGCGCTCATGGTGAGAGTGCGCTGATGGTGGGAGTGCGCTCATGGTGCCGCGCATCTCTGTGTCCGAGCTGAGCTGCCTCGACCGCACAAGAAATGCTGTGCCGCTTCTGCCCATGTGCATCCGTGCAACTATATGCGCCATGGACAACATACTCATGCACATGTGTGCACGTGTGCATGAGTGCGACACCATACTCTCCTGTGCATGCTCATGCACAAGTGTGCATGTGTGCATGTGTGCATGTGCAAACGCACTTCAATATCCGCGCTGAACTGTCTTGACCGCGCAGGAAACTTCACTCCGCTTCCCCTGCTACAACTCCCCTCCCCGTCCGCTGCCCCTCCGCTCTCCCTTTCCCCCGCCGCCTCACGCCACCTCTCCCCACCCTCCCCCATCTCCCCCATCGCGGCTCGAATCCCCCGCCCTCCGCCTTTGTGGTGCCTCAAAAGTTCCCCCACTCCGATTGGTATGGATTCCCTCCTCCCTTCTGCCACCCAGCAGCTCTTGACGCGATTATGGCGGTTCGTGCGATTCGTGACGCTGAAAGTTGAGAGATCCCCAGCCAGTCAGAAAATCTCGTGCTTCGGAGTCGTCTAAGAAAGGCTTGAAAGCAATCCCCGAGGTTCTCCTGCTTCGAATGGTGTCGTTTCTGATCCCTCGCCGCTCAGCTGTTCCCGTCGCTCCGCGGTGTCTCTCGGCCACCGGCTGCGGCTGAGATGAGAACGACTGATGGACGAAAGCCAACGAAAGATTGACGAAAGATGGAGGAAAGCTCGGAGATTCGCAGAGACAGTTATCCTACTGAGATTCGAATCGACCGACGGACGACGCGGTGCTGGTCAGAAGCACAACCTGACGTCAGAACTACCTAACGTCCGCATTATCTGACGTCAGCACTACCTGTCGCCGCTACTCCGGAGGGTTTACGATTGGGAACGGGAACTCCACTAGGACGAGAGTCGAAACTGACTCGTCTCGGCCGAGGAGCGTTTCGAGCGCTACGAGGCACCGTGAGGGGTTCACTGCCCGCGACGCGGTGCCCAAGTGCCCTAGATTGCCGAGATTGAAGTGCGACGCCACAGCTACGCGATGCGAGAGAGCGATACAGTAGATCACTGGTACTAATCTGCGAGGCAGTAAAGAAAGGTCCTAACTACTGACAGGGAGTTTTTATTGGAGTCACCGTGGGTTAGTGTCTGCCTCTGGCGATGACGAACAAGGCCCCGGTTAGTGACAAGGCGAAGCTTCAAATCTCGAGCTGAGCTGGTAACACAAGAGGCAATAATTGACCGTGGCGATGCGATGTTGCTAGCGACGAATCAAAGTTACCAGTTTGGAAGCTGGCCCTTGTGTAATACACTGTACCATGGAACAGGCCCCAGCTCCATTCAATTTCAGACCTTGCTTGTGCATTAAGACCCCTAAAACTACTCACATAGATAGCCAACGCTGGGAGTGCTGTTCACCAAATCCGTCCCTTAGTTTCTCGGGCTCGACTCCTGTGCATTGGAACCCACAATGCGAGTATCTGTTACTAAACTGATGAGACATTCGCATAGTCTTCTTGTGACTATGAGTAAACTGTGAGAGCATTCTGCACTAGCACCTTACCTTCCAACGTCTGCTGGACTAGCCATATGCTGACCAATTAAATACGCCAGTCATCGAGCTGAGCTTCGTCGCAGCTGCGAACTTGCCACGCATCCGCGTTTCAAGACGCCTCAGACCTCGCTTAGCGCCGACAAAATCTCGCCCGTTTGTCCTTTTCGCCGCCGTCTCCTCTCACCTGCGCGATGCTCGCCGTTCGGGGCGATGGCGCCAGGCCAGGGGCGGAGGGCGATGCTGCCGATGATAGTGACACGTGGTGCGCGCGGCTGCAATTGACGGCGGACAGCGAGTCGAGCGGGCTCTATGTGCTGTCGCGGTGGGGCGAGGCGGAGTGCGAGCTCACTGCCAGCGACGGCCGCACTGCCTGGACGTGCTGCGGTGAGTGAGTGGCTGAGTGTGCATGCGAGTCGTTGAGTGGGCTGTATGGGCTGTATGGGCTGTATGTCTCTCCCTAACCCGCTTGTTTGGCCGTTCCCCCTCCCCTTCCCCCCCTGTTGCATCCCTCTCTTGCGCCCTGCCACCCTCCCCCCCTCTCCCCCCTGCCCCATTTCCCCTCCCCGTTCCCCCCCCGGCCCCCCGCACGCGCCCTGCCTCCCCCTGGCTGGGCAGTGGAGGAGGAGAGGATGGGGGAGAAGGCGGAGGCGTGGGGGTTTCAGACGCCAGGTGAATACAACAGAGACGTGCTCCAAGCGGTTTTAAGACAGGTGAATGCAACAGAGACGTGCTCTGAACACATACATGGGGTGTGCCATACATGGGGTGTGCCATACATGGGGTGTGCCATACATGGGCTGTGCCATACATGGGCTGTGCCAAACGAGCGCTCGAAATACACCCGTTTCCGCTCAACTTTGCTCCTTCCCCTTCCATATTCCATCCCTGTTCATGCCACACATCCCCATTCCCACCTGCCGTCGTCATTCGCTTCGGTCCCGCTAAACCCCACTATGAATCCCCTTGCTGCCCAATCCATCCCAACCCCCCCTCCTTCATTTCCTTCACTTGGAGGTTCGCTTTCAGGCTCCACAACATCCGCACCTTCCCATCCATCCACCGTCCACCCCCCCCCCCTCTCTCCCCCACCCCTTCTCATCTCTTCGCTTCACTTGAGATTTGTTTGTGGGGCCTAAAAAAACATATTCTCTTGCCCTCTTCTCGCATCCCTTCCTCTCCAGCCGCCCTCGGCTCTCCGCATTACTTGGGGCCGGCGCAGCAAGAGGGCCAGAGCCAATCAGGATCAGCCTGCCACGTGGCAGGTCAGTATTGGATGTTCTCAATGCCTGTCTGTAGCTGATTGAATGGCTGAGTCGATTGGATGGATATGGACAGCTGTATGCGATTGGGTACCTCCACGCGACTGGGTAGCTGGCTGTGATTGGGTAGCTGTCTCTGACTGGGTAGCTGTCTCTGACTGGGTAGCTGTCTCTGACTGGGTAGCTGGCTGTGATTGGGTGACGAAGTAAATTGGATGGCTTTGGGGTTGTCTTTGAGCTTAGCACTTCTCCCTCCCCTCCCTCCCCTGCCCTTCCACCCCTTCGCCCCCGACTTCCTCGTCGTCCTGTCCTGTCGGCGGCGTCATCTTTTCTCCTTCCTTTTGTCCCCCCCGCCCCGCCTCTCCCCCTGTTCCTTGGCCGCGTCCATTCCTCCTGTGGTCTCAAACGAACCGAATTCTGATGAAAAACACAACGGTGAGGACAGGCTACACCCGTACCCTGCCTCTTGACGTGTACTGTTGTGTGGTTAAGAATGCGACATGGCAAATCACTATGCGAATGGCTTCGTGAGGTGCAACCTATAAGAAGTTGATTTGGTTTGGGACCAGAAGAAACATAGCTGCAGTGCAGTGGAGGAGCTCGCCCATGCAGTTCATTCACATTTGGAACCAGTCATGGGAAGCTTTCTCTTAGGGTACACTCACAGAACATCATATAATCTGTTATTGCAGCCTCATATGCAGTTTTCCAAGTGCAAGACCAATGGCACTTTTCTCATCCTCGCTGAGGGAGTGAGTCACATGTCAAATGGACAGCATGTGCAAGCTATTCAGGTGCTGCTATGCTACTTCTAGCTCCAAAATAGATCAACTTGTCTTCCGCATGGTGACTTGCCATGTGTCAAAGCCACACCTCTCACATCCGGAGCTGGGAGCGAGCGAGGGAGTGTGGACTCCACAGCAGCGGAGGTATGAGCAGCGAGAGAGTGTGAGTTGAGTTGAGAATCGAATCCCATCCCAGCAGTTCATCGGCGTTCCATCCCATGCGTCCCCTCCCCTCGTTCTCCGTCTCCGCATCTCCCCCCGTGACCTCGCCTGGCCTGGCCAGGGCACCTGTCAGGGCTGAATCTGAGGGCGAGTGTGGATTTGAGGGCAGTCCAGCCATGCGCATCCGGTTCCACTTTCCCCCCTCGCTCTCCTCTCCCATCTCCCCACCCCAAACCCCCCCCCCCCCCCCCGGCTCACTTGGCCAGTGCACCGTTCCGATCTGGAGCTGAGGGCGACCCTCGAATTGAGGGCCATGGAGGGGGAGGAGCATCAATTCGTCCCTTCCCCTCTGCCTCTTCCTCCCGTGCTGTGCTCCCCTCCTCCCTCTCAGCTCTCCTGGCCAGTGCGCCGCTCGGATCTGGAGCTGAGAGCGACCCTCGAATTCAGGGCCGTGGAGGGGGAGGAGCAGCAGAGAGCGGCAGTTGCGGGGATTCTGGATAGAGCGCTGACAGTGGCGGCTGCTGCTCAGGCGAGTTGTGGGGCGCATGGCATTGTTGGCCAGGTGAGTCATAGGGGTGCATAGCATCGTTGGTCACACCTCCATTCCCCCTTTGCCCCCTCCCCTCAACTCCCCCCTCCCCTCAACTCCCCCCTCCCCAACCCCTCCTCCCCTCCCGCACACTGAGCAGCAGCGCAGCAGGGACGCGCGTGAGAGGATGCAGTGAGGCTTTTTGGGGTTTATGAGTCAACTTATAAAGCCCTCCCTTCCCCCCCCCGCCTCCCTTCCCGTACCACACACAGGCAGAGCAACAGCGCAGCAGGGAGGCGTGTGAGAGGATGCAGCAAGTCCTCCTCCCCCCCCTCGTACCACACACAGGCAGAGCAGCAGCACAGCAGGGGCAGCGAGAGCTCGTTGGGGTTTATGAGTCATCTTATACAGTCCTCCCCCCCGTCCTCCCCCCCATCCCCCTCCTGTCCACCCCCCTCTCCCACCCCCTGTCCCCCCCCCCCCCCGTCCCCCCCCTGTCCCCCCCGTGTCCCCCCACCTGTCCCCCCACCTGTCCCCCCCCCTGTCCCTCCCTCTATCCCCCCCTCTCGCTCCCTCTTCTTGCCACTCACAGGCGGAGCAGTGGCGCAGCAGGGAGGCGTGTGAGAGGCTGCTGCGAGGCTTTTTGGGGTTCATGAGTGAACCTTTGAAGTCCTCCCTCCCCTCTTCCGTACCACTCACAGGCAGAGCAGCAGCGCAGCAGGGAGGCGTGTGAGAGGCTGCTGCGAGGCTTTTTGGGGTTCATGAGTGAACCTTTGAAGTCCTCCCTCCCCTCTTCCGTACCACTCACAGGCAGAGCAGCAGCGCAGCAGGGAGGCGTGTGAGAGGCTGCTGCGAGAGGCGGACAAGTGCTTGCAGCAGAGCGATCGGTTCAAGGAGGAGAAGGGCAGACTGGAGGACGAGCTGCTGGGGAAGGTGTGATCTGTGGTGTGCTGCTGCGCTGCTGTGCTGCTGTGCATGCAATTACTGGTGCAGCGAGGTGCGTGCAGTGCTCTAAGTGGAGAAATACGCGTACAGCGTATAATACGCTAGCGTATATACGCTGTACGCTTGATTCCGGGATTAGATACGCTAGGATATACGCTCTGGCGGGCAGGTCTAAAAAAAACTCGGGCAGGTGTAAAAAAAACCTGTTTGGGGAGGGAAGAGAGGGGGTGCAGAGCACCAAACGGGGTCGGTGATCTTCCGCTTTCCCCCACCACTAACGGCGTCGAGGGCCGACTCCTCCGCCCTATGCGCCTCCTCCCTCGCAAGCACTTTGGCGGTTTGGAACGCGCGGACGGCCGCCTGCTCCTCCTTCCCTACCTCCTCGCATTTCCGAACCTCGCGCCTACGCATACCATCCCAACTAGTGATGTGCTGCGCGCAGCGGTAGGCCGTCCCAGTAAAGGATACGGGGCAGTACTTGCACCAATACTTTTGCTGCTTGCCGTGCTCCTTATGCTTAAACTTGAAATGCTTAAAGATAGTGTGGGTGGAGTTCTCCAGGAGCTCGCCAGAGGAAGACGCAGCACGGGAGGTTCCCGCGTCGTTTCCGTGGGAACCAGGACTAGGTGGAAGGGTCGACATAGCAGCAGTCGCTAAAAAACCAGCTAGCTGGTCGCGCTAGCTTGGAAGAAGAAATGACTGAAGTTAGCGCGCCAGTTTACTTGTACCCTGATTTCGTCGTAGGAGTGAACTGCGTTTAACCCTGCTGGAGTAGAGTAGAGAGAGGGAGAGGAAGGAGATTTCTTTGGGTGTTGTTTGGAAGTCGCAGATTGGGTGGGATGCTGTGCGGTTGGGAGGGGCGAAGGGGTTGGGTTGACGATTTCAAAAGCCAAATTTCGGTTTGCGACATGGCGAAATCCCTGAGGGGTTTCGCCATGTCGCAAATTTGTCGCATATTTTTTGCGTATTTCTTGCCGGGCTGCCCGCCAAGAAATACGCTAGCGTATTGCGTACTTGGCTAGCGTACAGCGTATTCGTATTATACGCTAGCGTATATACGCAATACTCTAGGCTGCCCAAGCGTATTTCTCCACTTAGGCAGTGCTTGCAGCAGAGCGACAGGTTCAAGGAGGAGAAGGGCAGACTGGACAACGAGCTGCTGGGGAAGGAGTGGTGCTGTGCATGGTGCATGGTGAGTGTGCATGGCGGGTGTGCATGGTGGGTGTGCTGTGTGATGTGGTGCAGGTTGTGCTTAGCAGCGTAGCAGCCAGCCTCCTCTTGTGCTTATAACCGGAGCGGCACATGTCCTCCATGCCCTCCATGCCCTCCATCTCCTCCATGCCCTCCATGCCCTCCATGCCCCCCGTGCCCCCCGTGCCCCCCGTGCCCCCCGTGCCCCCCGTGCCCCCCGTGCCCCCCGTGCCCCCCGTGCCCCCCGTGCCCCCCGTGCCCCCGTGCCCCCCGTGCCCCCCGTGCCCCCCGTGCCCCCCGTGCCCCCCGTGCCCCCCGTGCCCCCCGTGCCCCCCGTGCCCTCCGTGCCCTCCGTGCCCTCCTTGCCCTCCATGCCCTCCGTGCCCTCCATGCCCTCCATGCCCTCCGTGCCCTCCATGCCCTCCATGTGCACTCTACCCTACCTCCAGTTCAGGGCAGTCCTCAACGCCAAGAAGGCAAGGATGAGAGAACTGGGGGGCGCTCAAGGGGGAGGGGGGGGGCTCCATTAGGCGCAGCACAAGGAGCAAAGAAGCGCGCACCATGACACACTTTGTTTCCATGCCCATATCCCCACCCCCACCCCCTCCCCCTCTCCCCCCCCCCCCACCTCCCCTGCAGTTCCTGGCAGTGCTGAACGCGAAGAAGGCAAGGATCCGAGAGCTGGAGGCCGCTCAAGGGGGGGTCACAGCCGGGGGAACAGGAGGTGGAGGGGCAAAGGGAGGAAGCGCAGGAGGAAAAGGTGCGGCAAGCATAGGAGGCGCAGGAGGAGCAGGGCGAGCAGGGAAGGGGCGGTGACAGAATGGGAGCGAGGCGGAGGCAGCGACCTCGGATGAGAGACAAGGTAGGGCTGGGAAAAGGCTGGGAGACGGCTGTGAGACGGTGGAGAGCAGAGGCATCAACGGGGCGAGGGGGGAGCAGGGCGAGCGGGGAAGGGGCGGTGATACAAGGGGAGGGAGGAGGTGGCAACCGCGGATGAAGCAAGGTGGAGCCGTGAAAGGGCTTTTATGAGAGGTTTTCGGGGATTCGAAGGAGTATCTCACTGCGACCTCGGGTGCCACAAGGTGCAGCAGGGAAGGGGCTTTTGAGGCGGCTCAAGAGCAGCAGGTGCGATAATAAGGTACCGCAGCGGAAAGGGTGCGAGATTATGGGAAGTTTTTCCGTCGATTCAAAAGTCATTTCCGAGGCAGCGACCTTGGATGGGAGACAAGGTAGAACGGTGAAAGAGGATTTTGAGGCGGCTCAATAACAGCAGGTGCAACAAGGTACAGCAGCGAAAGGGGTGCGAGATTATGGGAAGCAAAGGGGTGAGGGGCTACAGGGGAAGGGGGAAGGGTAGAGGGTTGGGGGGGAAATGAGGGCTGAGGGAGAAGTGCAAGGGGGGAAGCAGGGGTGAGGGGGAAAAGTGCAGTGGCTAGGGTGAAGGGAACTAGTTGTGTATTCCACACCGACAGGAAAACACAACCACTAGTGCGTTCTGTTTCCTGTGGTCTCCTGTTCCACTTTATATATGTATGTGGTGTGGCCGGCTACGTGTACCAGTATTTGTGAGGTGGAACGTTTACCGACATCCCCACCTGTAACTGTGCAGTTGCCAAAAAGCCGCACACCATTAAGAAAAATATAAACTGTACACAACTAACCACTAGTGTAGTCTCAACCCACACACAGCTTTATTTCCCAACGGCTACCATCTCAGCTTGTCGTCAAGGCCACCATAGCGTGGTCTGGAATCTTCTCCCCAGCACGGGGAGCAACCTCCAGGGTGTATCCTCCTCTACACACACACAGCTTTATTTCCCAGCAGCTTCCATCTTAGACCAGTAGCTCTCTCCCGAAGGTCAGCTTGTGTCATCAACTAGCCTGGCCTGGAATCTTCTCCCCAGCATGGGGAGCAACCTCCAGGGTACCACCCGATGCCCTATCAGGGCTCGAGCATTGCTCTAGCACTGCTTATCACTGCCCGATCACTGCCCTATCACTGCCGTAACCTGCTCTAGCACTAGTCACTCATTGGAAAACCAAGCAAAATCATCATAGCACTACTGTAGTGCTCTCCTGTCACTGTTATCAGGAGCACCTCATCGCCAAAGTGCCTGTACAAAACCTCCCAGGCAATCCATGCAGCCCCTTCTTCTCCCTCCCTCCCTCCCTTGGCACTCTCCTTGTGCCTCTCCTTCCTTCCCACTGAGTCCCAGCAGCAGCTGCTGCCCTGTGCTTCCGTTCTTTTCCGCTGCTTCTCCTTCTGCTCAAACTGCTGCCCCTTCAGCTCAAACTGCTGCCCCTTCTGCCCAAACTGCTGCCCCTTCCGCTCAAACTGCTGCCCCTTCCGCCCAAACTGCTGCCCCTTCCGCCAGCAGTTTCAGCAGTCTCAGCAGTCTTTGCCTCTCCTTTACCAGAGAGCCTCGTTCCGCTCCCTCAGAACAGAAACCCCACGGCTCTGGTGTGCTGGTGGGAGGAGCATTCGTTCCGCTCCCTCAGAACCCCCACCTCTCTGCTTACCTCCTCTGCCAGCTCTGCTCTCAGCTCCTGCCTTGCTTATCCTTCAAATCTCAAAATGCTGCCTTGTCGCCCAGCAGCAGCAGCAGCAGCACTCTTGGCTTCTCTTCTCCCCTCCCAGAACCCCCCTCCCGCTCCTTCCAAATGTCCTTCTCTCTGCTCGCCTCTGCCAGCTGTGCTCGCAGCCCCTTGTTCTTATTAGTCCCAAATTGCTTCTTCACAACCCAGCAGTCTCAGCGGTCGTTGCTTCTCCCTTACCAGAGCCTTGTTCTGTTCCCTCACTACCCCTGCCTCTCTGCTCGCCTCTGCCAGCTGTGCTCGCAGCGCCTTGCCTAGAGTATCAAAAGCCTCAAACTGCTTCCCCTTCCGCCGGCAGTCTCAGCAGCTTTTGCCTCTCCCCACCAGACCCTCGATCCCCGCTCTCTCATAACCCCCATCCCTCTACTTGCCTCTGCCAGCTGTGCTTGCAGCGCCTTGTTCATGTTGAGATGGCTCAAACTGCTGTTTCTCCCCCCAGCAGTCTCAGCAGCCTGTGCTTCTCCCCTACCATGGCCTCGTTTTGCTCCTTCAATGCCTCCATCTTTCTGCTTGCCGCTGCCAGCTGTGCTCCCAGCGACCTGCAGACTGCCGCTAAATCACGCGTCTGGGTTGGGATGTAGAGGGATGGAGGGAGGGAGGGGAAATGAATTGCACAAGGAGTGAATTAGGATGGAGTACGGGTGGTGCTCCTAACATGGGCTTTGAGGAGGCCGGATCCTCCAGTGGCAATTTTCAGGTGCTTAGAGCAGCAGGTGTGATTTGAGAAGTCTCCAGACACCTGTATTTGTGAGTGCTTAGAGCAGCCTAAGAGAGCCTTCTCTCTGAAGTCATTGCATACACGCGTTCAATGTAAGAGCAGGGTTGTTGCGTGGGGTTTTTACAGGGTTTTTTGAAGGGGTTTAAACTACCTCTACCTCATGTGAGCTGACTTTTGGGTCGACTCAAGTCAGCTCATAGGGGAAGAAGGGGGGGGGGAGAGATTACCTCAAGTTCCACCTTCTGCAGGTGCTCCTACCGAGCTGACGTTTGAGTTGACTCAAAAGTCAGCTCATAGCGCGTGGGAGGGGGAAAGGGGGGGAGGGGGGGGGGTGGTCAATTACCTCGAGTTCCAGCTTCTGCAGGTGCTCCTGCTGCCTCATTCGGATGCGCTTGGCCGATGCTCTATTGGATTCCCGCCTGCACACACGAGGCGGAAGGAACGGTGCAAGTGGTACGAGGGTGAGGTGAGGTGGTAACCATGGGTGGTAACCATGGGAAGGCTGTTCTGACCACAACTGCCTCATGTCGTAAGAAGGGAGGGTGGAAGCAAGGTGTATGCAGGCATGGCTGGATTGTCTCAGGGCGTACAAATTGTGGGAAAAAATGTGCACATCTCAGCACAGGGAGCAAGCACGCTCGTCTCATTCTCATCTCACCTTTTGTTCTTCTTTGAAGCGCCATCAGCTGGAATCCCTCCTCCACACCCGCGTGGTGACTGCCCGTAACTGTCGGTGTTTCTGCTGCTCTTCCCCAGGCTCATGCCCCTGTCCGTGCACTTGCTTGTAGAGCTCTCCCACTTGGCGTTCTCATCTGCATCCTCGTGTTTGAAACCAAAAGAGGCATCGGGATACGCCTCTGCATCTTCCTCCTTCACAGGAATGGAGTAGCAGTCACCACCACCACCACCACCAGCACCTGCAGGCGGCATGAGCGCAGCACCGCTCTGCCTTAGCGACGGCGCATCCACCTGTGGCCGTGCTTGCCCTTGCGGCCAGGTCTCCCCTTGTGCTGCTCTCCACCACTGCTCTTCGGAGTCCGTCCCGCTGGAAGGGAACCCTGTGTCTTGCCGTGGCGGTGTGCTTGGGAGGCCGGGGGAGTGTGCGGAGGCATGGGGAGAAGGAGAAGCATCACCACCAGCAGCAGCATCACCAGCATCAGCAGCATCAGCAGCATCAGCAGCATCACTGGTGTCGTCGTTCCAATCATCACTCCAATCATTGTTGCTGCTTCCAGGGCCAGGGGGTGGGAGCACCAGATGTGGTAACCGTATAACCAGATGGCGGTTGGGGGCGGTGGGTTCCATGGGAGTGGGGAGAAAGATGGACGCTGACGTGGCACATGTGGCTTGTGCGTTGTCAACAAAGGCAGAGGGAGAAGCATGGGGACGTGGAACGGAGGAGGCGGCATTGGGGGTGGTGATGGGTGGTGCTGTGTTGTCATTGTCGCCGTTGTTGCCGTGGGTCATTAGTGCCTCCATCTGACCCTCCATCTGACCCTCCATCTGACCCTCCATCTGACCCTCCATCTGAATCTCCATGCATATCCCGTCTAACCCTGTGTCCTGCATTGCCTTCTCTTTAGTCCCCTCCTCCATTGCAAACAGCCCACCAAGCAGCTCCAAGCTGAAATGCCCGTTCACGCCATCCTCGTTATTGACATCCCCATCCTCCACACTCGTGTCAGCTTGGCTGCTTCCGTAGCAACTAAGATGACTGCTGCTTATTTCCTTGGAGCTGACGTCATCGTCTGTCTGGCTGGCGTCAGCGCCTTCATTTTCAGCCATCAGTTGGCCCTCATTCAGGTCCAAAAGTGTCACCAAATTATTCCATGATGGCTCTTTTCCCCTGAGTGTAGTTTTTTTGCAAGGGTATTTACCCTGAATATTATCCACATCCTCATCGCCCTTGCGCGGAGGTGCAGTAGGGGCTGCTGCTAAGCTCGCGGCGGTGGGCGGAGCAACAAACGCGGCGGTAGGCGCTACTAGTCGAGGGGCAGGCGCAGCGGAAGGCTTCGGCGCAGATGCGAGTTCTGAAACAGCTGCTGGAGCAAGCGCGAAAGTTGGCGAAACCTCATTTTGCGAAAGTTGAACTTGCGAAGGTTGAGCCTGCGAAATCCGAGCTGTCGAGAACGGAGCGAGCGACAGCGGCATTGCCGAAAGTCGAGCTGGCAGAAGTAGGCTGCGCGAAACCTCGTGCGGTACCATCGCAACTGTCGCAGAGAAACGAGCATTTTCGTTAGGTGGCGGTGAAGCAGCAGGAATGCGCGGGAGGAGATTAGGGTTTGTCGAAAACAGTTGAGGGTTTGAAGAAAAGGCCGCCATTTCATCAACCCACGTGTTTCCGTCGTTCCCTTTCTCCTGATGTCGCGCCACCGTTCGAATTAGCCGTGCGTCCGCTTCACAAGCTTGGGCAGGTGGAAACGCGTATTGCGAGGTTGTGACGTGTCGCGGCGCCGAAATGCCGTCGCGAGGGGAAATGGCGCGTCGGATAGAAGCTGCCGACGCGCAACTTAAAGCGGGGCAGAGGTTGGTCTTGAAGGTCGCCGCGATGTCGGTTTCCATAGCCACGGGATGTCGCTGCGTCGTCGCGCTCACGTGACGGCCGTCGTGGAATGACATCACGATACGTGGAGATGACGTCACGTATTGCGGCGGTGAGGCCACGTAGGACGGCCGCGGCGATGACACGGCGGCGCGCTTCTTCTGCTTGATGTTCCGAAGCAGTCCGCAGATCGTTGTCGGACATTCCTTAGCAGCGTGCCGGGCCGCCATACCCCGCGACATCGATGACGACGCCGCAGCCGCCGCCGCACTCCGCGCCGGTGGGCATTCCGCCAGAGCCTTGTATCGGAGCAAACGGCCTTGGGACGCGGCGGCGGCGGAAGCGGCTTGTTGTAGAGCGACGGAAGCGGTAAGCGACGTCGCAGGCGGCGACCTCGGCCGGGAGCCGCTTTGAGCGGCAGTTTTCTGGAGCGATTTCATCCGTCCAAGCTCCTCGAACATGTCCATCCCCGCCGGGGGAGACGACTCTTCCAGAATATGTCGCAGGGATCTGTCGCAATCTCGTCGCTTCGACTCCGGCAACTCCAGGTCCGTCGCTGCGCCGCTCTGAGTCCCCGCGAGAGCCGCCGCGCAACGCTTCCCGAGAACGCTTGTAAGAGGCGGAGTTTCCAACGCGGAGACATTGCATTTCCGCGAGCCGCGATGGCTCTTGACTCCGAGTTGGGCTGCGAGCGTTGCGCTACCAAGAGCGGCGTAGTGACATTGGCGGTGAGAGCCTTCCGAAGGGCCGTCAGCGGCCGCCGCGGCGGAGGGGAAATGCGGCGGCGTTTTGTGCGTCACGCCGCGGCGACGGATGCTAAAGCTATCCGCGCTTGATGGTGTGGGTGGGTGGATGTCGCTGAGACGGAGAGCCATGGCCGCTGATCCTGTTTTGCTAGCTAGACAGCGCTTGTTGTTGTGCACGACTGAACTGCTGATAGCACAATGCGGTGAGGAAATGCGCGTGTCTTGTTGCTTGGAGCGCGGAGTTCAAGAATGCGTCTTGAGAGTTCTCTCCAATTCCATAAAAAAAAGGGATTTTGCTGACAAGTGGAACTGCAGGATGGACTGATTGCCAGGGCGAGCACTCTCATTACACTGCCAGTATCATATCAAGGGAAATACAGTACTGTACTAGGGAGAAGGCTACGAGCATATCTGGGGGAGTGGGGGGGGAGCAAGAGAGGAAGAAAGGAGAGGGGTGGAGCCCCGGGGCGCGACAGAGAAGCAAGAACGATGGCTTGTCGTCTCGTGCTCAACCCGCCCACGAGCGGAGGACGCGCCGCGCAAGGATATTTACTGTACAGCCTGTACAGTACAGTACAACCTGTACACATGGGAGCAAACACCGCTACACTAGGGCAGGCTAGGCTGGCTCCTGCCAGATTTCTATGATCTATCCGAGATAGACGGTGGTCCAACCGAGCCATGATAGTCGCCGCCGTAAACCTCTCTCGGCGGCAACTTCAAGGGAACTTTCCAGCATTGCAATGGCTCCCCGTTACCGCTCGCCATTCGCCAGTTATGGCTACACAGCACACCACCATTGGCTTGCCATCATTCTCCCGTTCAGAGATCGTGCGAACGGAGGAAAAGAATCTCAGACGGTTGCGTGTGGGGGAGGGTCTGGTGAGGTGGGGAGAACGAGAGGGACTTGCAAGACCGGGGTGGGGGACCGAGGGAGATGCCCGTGACTAGCGGGTTGGTGGAAAAGAACAGTTCAAAAGCTTGCGGGGGCAGCTACCCCACCTCAGCCGAGGGCTGCACTCAAGACAAAGCAGCACTGGGTTGTCCTGACCAGGGCTTACCTTAGGGTTTTCGTCCACACGGCAGATCCGGGTATCTCTTTCGTGGGACCCGTATTAAACGGTTGTATGTGAAACGCTAGTCGTCGATATCCAGGTAAGAAAAAATGGCACTTCAGTCCTGGGGTTTCTCAATGCTGACAAACGCTCTTACAAAAAGTTCCTGGGTTATATAGAAGGGAACCACGTAAGAAAACTCATCTTCGCTCTTATAATTCTACCTCTGGAACTTTGTTGCTGGGCTGATTTGCCCTAGGGAGAGGGAATGGAGGGGGGAATCGGAGGGGAGGGTGGTGTGAGAAGTTCTAGTATCTGTGTTTACCAAAATCTAACACGTAACTTCGAGGGTTCTGGTAAAAGAATACCTATGAGAATCCGGTTCATAAAAATCGAACTTGTGGCAATCCGATTCTGGTAAAATAATCACCCGGGTTCATAAAAATCTGGATATTTACCCGTAAAAAATAAACCCTGGTCCTGGCTGTGAGCCTTCTTGCTGCGTTGCGCTGCCCCGCGCGTGGGGGTTTGGAGGGGAGGTCACTACACCTCTTCCAAGGAACACTTTATAGCAGAACACTTTAAGTTGCCATTACATGCCCTAAAGCCGTATTCCCCTACTATAATGAATGGCCTTACTGTCCAGGTCATTCCTAACAGCCGCGGAACCTGCCCAACAAAAACACATGCAACAAACACAACAGCAAATGTAAGCCATGAAGCCGCATGCAGGACACCCTACACCCCACAGAAAAAAAAGCACAAGCCTACAAAAATAACTGTTGACTTTTCCGCTACAATCCGTTAAGCCAGGGGTTACCAGAGCAGCATTACCGATACTCTCTGGCGCGGCTCTGTCATTGACAAAAAAAATGTTCGCTGGAAGAGGTGTACTGTATTGTACTGTACAGACGTTTGGAGCCAGGTTTCGAAGCTCCCGTCAGCGAATTTGTTATGGCTGCCCGGATCGGTCCATATTCATCCTTCCACGGAATGTCAGTACCCAGTAGAGCAGATTCCACGAGTGGTGAAAATCAATGCCTTCACAGGGCAGAATACACCACAGATTAGTCCATGGCGAGAAAGAGATGGTCCGTGTTCAAGAAGGGATACTTGAAAAACGGCTTCGTTCCATGTTCATTGAGGGGAACAGGTTCGGTGGAGCACCGGGATTTTATATTTAAACATTCAGGCTAAGTGTCTCTCGATCTGCTTCCGGCAGTTAGAGCGTGTCGAAAGTGTTATGGCAGGGGATGGGGACGGATGGCAGCGGATGGTAGCGGATGGCAGAACGAGTATCGTCCGTCGATTCCCGTACGGACGGATGACAGCGGCTACGATTCGTTCTGTCATCGGATGGCAGCGGATGGCAAATTTGCACTTTGGACACATCATCAGTCCAATATCTCCGATGTGGCTGTCGTTTGTACATTGCGGGAACTTTTTTTTTTTTTTGTTCCACCACTGCACTCAATGCGATGTTAGTAAATAAAAAACCAAACAACATTTGTTGGAAATGAAACTGGAAACCTTGGAGATGGGCAGCATTTGCTTCCCCTCCCCCCCCCCCCCCCCCCCCCCCACCCCCAGCAAGAATGCATGGCAACCTTCGACCGAACGTGCTTCACCACCACCAACCAACACCTCAACTACCCCGCCTCAGCTCAGCCTCAACAAGAAAAATGGGGCGTGGCACACCATGTGCGACGCTGACTTGGCCAGAAATTCTGCACAAGGTGGACCAATGACAACCAATTAGACGCTGACGATGCAGGTGACAGGGTGGGAGGCAGCAGAGAAAAATCGTGTCGATTGTGGGAAAGGGGAAATGATAAGAAAGGGTCCTCCCTCTGCCAGGGGTGTGAGCAAAAAAGGTCCGTCTACATCCGAACCTGTAGTACACTCTGTTTTATTTTTAGTATTTACCAGTAAACGTTTATCAACGAGAAGCCAAAAACATAAAACCCATTTGGGACCGAATTCCGTTCGAGATGGCATCAACCCTAAACACGCTGCTCTTTTGCGATTTTAGGGTTGATGCCAACCGGAGTCGCACGTGAGGGCGCTAAGGGTTTTAGTTTTTCTCTATTTATGCCCTAAAACACTGTTCGTATATATGTCCCACCTCACAGGGTCATGATACGACGCACCCCAGAAACCTGAGCTGTTTCGCAAACCAAAAATAGTTACGTGTTGTACGACGAAGGCGATGTATCACAGGTTCGGCGACAAGGTCTCGGGGCAGAAAGCTGCCGGACCTTTTTTGCTCACGCCTCTGGCGGGGCGAGGATCCTTTGTTATCATTTCCCGTGGGAAAGCACCTACAGACGGCAACTTGCTGGGATTTGAAATGGACTTGTACAGTACAGAAGTGTACTCAACTCAAAATCTGAAGCACCAACAATCAAGTACAAAGAACACACACCACCTCCTGTTAATTCTTCGAAATCAGGCCAGAGAGGGCTTACCTTTGGGTTTTTGCCCACACGGCATATCCGGGTACTCATTAAGGAAAACCCGGATATCACGGGTGTACCATAAAATTCACACGTCAGAATCCAGTTGGGATCAAAAACAGCACGTCAGATCTGGGAGATTTCGTAGCGTTAATAAGTTCCAGTTTAAATGTTCTGTAAGAACGAAATACACAGACTTCACTTATGTAAACTCATGCTTTTGTTCTCACTCTTATGAACCGCCATCCAATATATGGTGATTTCGTGTTTATTGGACGGGAAAAGGAGGTGGCGAAGGCGGGGTGGGAGGGGCGCGGGGGAAGAGGAGGGGGGGATGGGAGGTGGGGGTGGGGGGTGGGTGAGTTTTTCAACAGCTAAGATCCGTTCGTGCCAGAGGCCCATCCGTCAAATCAGGGGACTTCGCAAAACGAACACGGCACGTCACGGGTGCTGCTAAATACGAACCGGTCAGAATCCGGAATGGGACGAAAGATCACCCGTTATTTTGCAAAAACAACGGGCAGCTACCCGTGAAAAATAGCCCCTGGGGCTTCCCCCGCCTGATTTGGGCAATAAACTGCGATCACATGTCACACGGTGACTTGGCAAACGGCACGTGCGTTGCGGAATGATCAAGTGTTTCCGAACGTGCTTCCGTTCTTTCGGCTTGCCCTGACATTGGCGGGACAGTGCTGCACCCGTGGCACTTGTGTGCGTGAACCCAGTCCAGAGAGTGCTTCGCCAGAATATTCCGCTAGAAACGGGAATACTCCAGAACGACAATTCATGTCTTTTCCATGGAACTTTGAGCACAATCTTACAAGTCATATGCTCCCAACTCCCCAAAAGAGCAAGTCTTGCCCTAGGCTACTAAAAAGGCTTGCACTAGCATTCAGAGTGCAATTAGTAGCACTACTACTAGCAGGTATTTCGCTCCAACCAGCTACACCTCTTGCCGATTCCATCCCCTCCATTACAACTGAATCAAATTGAAAGACATGCCTTCATCCTAAACCACCCACCCACCCCTCCCCCATCTCCCCCCCCCCCCCCACCCCCTCTCCCTCCCCTCCCCCCCCCCCCCCCCCCCGTCCTGCCACACCTCTTCCTTCATTTACATTCATCCAATAGAAGCAAAGAAACGCTTTGGCGATAATTAACCTCTATGCAGCAGAGCAGAGCTTGCAGTCATAGTGCATGCAGTGCTAGTAGCCCATGCATAACCTATTGCACAGCCGAAGCAGCATCCCTTCCATTACGGTCGACGACAGCAGCATCTTGCCCTCCCCACCCAAATCCACCTCCCATTCTTCTCTCACCCAACCCACGTGCGTATCACACAAGGCGTGCTAGTCATTAGCCTCTATGCAATGACGCGGAGCTCGCTGTCATAATCAGATCCGCCGGCCGCGTTAGCAACCCTTGCATGGCAGACGCGTCTTGCCCCACCGACCCCACCTCCCACTCTTCTCTCACCCACGCGCGAATCGTGCCCGACGTGTCGTCGTCGCACCGCTTCGCCACAGAGAGCACGGAGCGGCCGCGGCGGGGGATGATCATGCCACCCTCGATGGGCTGAAAGTCCTCCACTCGGGTGACCATCACCCGCTCCCAGTAAATGGTGCTGTTGCTTGCCGTCTGAAAAGGGAGGAGGGGGTAAGAGGCATGCGCAAAGAGCAAAGGCAAGGCCACACATGCAGATTTGTTTATGGGCGCTCGTCAGCTGAGCAATCACCCACACGCGACCGCGGCGGGGGATGATCATGCCGCCCTCCATGGGCTGCAAGTCCTCAACCGGCGTGACCATCA